ACAGGCCAACAGTATATACTATACAAATGTCTCCATGTCTTTATTATTAAACCCCAAGCAGGACCTTCAAAAGCCTGGCAATACACCATTAACTGACTATAAATCCTCATGGACAGATGCGGCCTCACGATCCATGCCAGGGTATTGATGGAACCAATGTTGTGCATACTTTCATTCTTTGCTTTTCCCTTCTTCTGCTGATTCCCTGGGCCTTGGAGGCTGTGGTATGGATGTCCTACTTAGGGCCAAGCATCCAAGGGTCGCTTTTTCTCATCGCTGATCCAGGATGGGTCTCTGCAGTTACTGATGCCCACCACAAAAAGACAACTCTGACCAAAACTGACAGCAACACTAATCCAGGGACATAATAAAAGTTATTCGGAAGGCAATTTGCTGGGCACATCATGTCAATTTAGCAAACAACAAAGGTAGATGTCCCCATTAGGGCCTATGAGTTTTCCAGCCATGAATTTCTGACTAGGTTTACAATAACAGATATGAATTTTTCCCTTGTGCAGTGGGCCTCAACAGGAAGTGGTTGTTTACCTCCATACCATGCTTGCCACTATTTCACCAGTAGGTACATCTTGCCTGGCAGGTCAGAAGTGCAGCATATGGGGCTCACAACTGGAGAAAACTATTGATGGTAATTCCCTTCCAGCAGCCTACACAGAATTCTTTGGTACTAGCCAGCAGGGAGAAAGCTTTATTTCTCTATGTCCTACAGCTAGAGCAAGCACATGGTATCTTCAGTAATAGAGTTTTAGTATATAGCTTTGGTCATCAGCCAGCAGGAGAAACAATTGTTTTAGGGCCGGTGGATAAGCTCAAGGAGTCTAAGATGTTGCCCATGTTTCTGTCTTGTGCCTTCAGGTCAAAGTTGCTGAGGGGGGAATACTAGTGTAGTTGGGAAGCTGGGAAAGTTATTGCTGTGAAGTACACAGAGGGTGGACAAGGCTGGAGAGCAGAGCTGAAGGTCAGAAGACATCAGGAAGCTTGAAGATACATGGATAAGCACTGGATCGATTTGGGCTCAGAAGGGTCTGGGGTGAAGGTACAATGTGAGCGAGCACTATTCATAGCAGTGGGACCTGAAACCCTGAGAGTAGATAGATCATGTGTGGGGTATCCAGTTACAGATCCTCAGGCCACACAAAATGCAGAGAAAGGAAGAGAAACCCCAACATAGTTAGAAGGAGCAGCTGGGGTAGTGAGAGGGAACAGGAGAGTGTGGGATCAGAAAGCCAAGGTGAATTTTCTCGGAAGTGGCCACTGAGGTCACTGAAACCTTGGTAAAGTCTCTTCTAGAGAAGGAAAGTCAGAGCAGAGACTCCTGCCCCATCCCCCATAATTCCAATAGCAGTTCTTTTTATGAGAGAGTCTATTCCAGTCAGTATAAATTCAGAGGAGACATGCACTACAGAAAGGCTGAAGTATGGAGTATATTGTAAATAATTGAGTCCTGTTATCAGAGCCCGAGGACATTCAGAGAAATCAATCCAGCTACATAAGGTACCTAGAACAGGGCATCACATGGGGCCAAGGACTCCATGGGGCCTGTGAATGAGCTTCAGAGGGTATCCCCTGCCCCTACATACACCTAAGCTTCTGGCATTTGGTGGGGGAGAAGGCCCATAGCTTTCACTGGTCTTCTCAGAAGGCTCTACTTTCAAGGTAGGTTGGGACCCTTCTGAGAATGACAAAGATACAACCATGGTCCACAAAGTCTCTTAAATCTTTTTTCCTAACTTCCTTTCCTTTTCAAGATGATCCCCCAGTCAGTGCCCAGACACTGCACCACAGGGATCTATGATCAGGAATAAGTTAGGCTTCCTTGGGTGGGAAAAGAAGAGAGTCACTGATAAACAAGGGCCACCTACCAGAGCAGGTAACTGGGTGTAGGGGAGTGGAACCCAGAACCAGGTATCTAGATGAAATGAGTCTACAGGAAGGTTTGAGGTGTTCCCTACGGGTAGAAAAACGCATCTCAAAGCATACACATTCAGAGGAGACTGGCGGTAGATTTTAAGACTAGGAAACAGATCAGGGTCAGAAATGGAGCTATAAAGCACCCTGCGCCTCGAGGAGCCCAGTGTGCTGCCTAGGCTGGTCACGTGACTGGTTACCTCAGCAGGCTTGTAATCAATCAGGTGCAGCCCTGCTGCTGTTTCTTTGAACACGAAGCATTGTTTTCAAGAACAACCTGGTAGTTGGACTTGGAAAGGGATGCTGATTTCCCGTGGGAATGAGTCCATCTTGGAGGAGGTACCAGGCTGTAAGCACAATGCAGCTTCAAGTTGGAGGTGGATCTTCTTCCTCGAGGATTGACAGTTTGAGGCATGTCAAGAGACAGCACTTTGCTGGGCATAACTGATTATGCCTCTTATGCTGGGGGGGATGCTGAAGCAGGAGGATTACTATAAGTATGAAGTAAGATTAAGCTAGAGTAAGAACTTATCTCAAAAAACAAACAAACACCCCCCAAAACAAAAAGAAAGCAACAAGACCCAGCACCTGGCTTACTCACTGTAAACGTCCTCATGAATGTCCCAGAACAGCAGTGCCATTGACAGCTTTTGGCACTAAGCTCAAAGTCTCATCAGCAGGGCTCTCCATAGCCCAAATGACCTTAGAATGTCCCCAACCCCTTTAAACAGACTTCTGTGAGCAGGAAGGCTCTCGGACAATATTTTCTCCAGGGAGTGTGTGTGTCTGTGTGTACACACGTGAACTGAGGAATTTCAGTCAATTTGGTGGTAGAGAGAGAAAGGGGCCAGAGGTATGTCTGAGGGTGCAAACCACCAAGGTTTGGGGAGCATATAGAACTGGGGTGGAGACTACAGAAGAGAGCACAGACTTGGTTTGCCTTGTTGACCCAGAATGGGCCCAGTCCTCTGAACTCTTGCTGCTTCTTTGCCTGGGTGAAGGGCTCCTGTGGCAAAGCTGGCAGACTCACAGGTGGGAAGGAAGGACTCTGCAGACATTGTTAATGGCTTAAATGGCCGGGATTCTACCTTCAACCTAGTCTTGTCTGTGGGCTCTCATATACCCTGGCTACAACCTCACTGCTGACAGCTTGCAAATCTATCCCACCAGGCCTCCCTCCTCTGCTCCAGGCAAGCATGCCTCCCAATAACCCCAGTTGTTGGGAGACAACATTGTTTCCAAATGTAGCTACCTCGGAGGCCCCGGAACTGGTCAGTCCGTGAAGTGCATATGACACAAACAGAAGTGAGGGTTTGAATGTGATCGTCTTCACTCTCACAGAAGTTCAGTGCTGAGGCTCAAGCGAGATGGCTTCTCAGGTAAAGGTACCTGCCACCAAGCCTAATGACCTTAATTTGATCCAGTGACCCCCATGGTGGAAGGAGGGAGCTGATTCCCATGAGCTGTTCCCTGATTTCTAAATGTGTGCTGTGGCATGTCTGCCTACCCTAGCACACAAAGTAAGGTAAACAAAATGAAATTACATGCTTGTAATTCCAGAGCTGAGGAGGTAGAAATAGGAGGATTCCTGGGTTTTCTGGCCAGCCAACCTAGATAAATTGGCCAGTGTCAGATTCAAAGAGAGACTGTGCTTTGAAGTCAAGGCAGAAAGCAACTGAGGAAGGAAGATGGGCTGTCGACCTCTGGCCTCCACACATACACACAAAAATAAAAATAAGTGTCCAGGAAGACAGGCTCCCTCCCTTTCTCCTCCCCTCCCTCCCTTCTCTCCCTCCCTCCCTCCCTCCCTCCCTCCCTCCTTTCCTTCCTTTTCTTTTTCAGACAGGGTGTCATGGAGCCCAGGATGGACTGGAACTTGTCGTGTAGCTGAGGATGGTCTTGAACTGATCCTCCTGCCTCCAGACTTCAAGTGCTGGATTACAGTGTGCCATCACATCTCGTCCGAGGCAGTTTCAAGGGCCACACAGAAAAGCTCGGATGACTGCACTGACCTTGTGGAGATGAGCCAGGGACAACACTGACTTCCTTTCCAGAAGAGAGTGTGTTCCTCTCAGTTTCCAATTGCCTTTCATCCCATCAGCCACATCAACTTAAGTGACTCCATATGCCATTGCTTGTTGATTGTCTGCCTTTCGTGGTTCAAGCTTAAGGACAGAGAATATGTTCCTTTTACTTCTATATCTTCTTTCCTTGAGACAGACTGTCATGTAGCCCAGGCTAGCCTAGGACTCAATATGTAGCTAAGGATGCCCTTGAATTTCTGATCCTTCTGCTTCTGTCTCTTGAGTGCTGGTATTGTGGGTATGTGCCACTACACTCTGTTTATGTGGTGCTGGGAACCAAACCACGGGCTTTGTGCATGCTAGGCAAGCATCCTACCAACTGAGCTACATCTCCAGCCTTACTTCTGCATCTTTAGTGTCTACATAGTAGCTGACAGCTCATTGTCACTGTTTGCTGGGTGAATAAATGGTTATGCTTGTTCATCACCCAAAATTCATGCTCTGTTGAGACCCTCAGCCCTTTCCTGTGTTCCTATCCTCACAAAGCTCGGTGCTTCCTTCCTGTGAACCAGCACCCTTTTCGCCCCTACCCTGGCCCCTCTCCCATCCTTAGCCCTTCTTCAGATATTCTCTTGCCCTGGGTTGCTTCAGGGATTGACTTGTAAGTAAAGCAGCATGTATACCTGTCAGGGAGTCTTCAAGGTAGGTCCTTGCATGGTAAGACACCGACATTGATGGAGTGGGACAAAACATGCTTTTCTGTGTCTTTACCCACTAAGCAGGGGTCTCAAAGGTGCCAGCGGTCACAGGGTGGCCTTTCTCCAAAGAAAGCTATATTGTTTATTTCCCACAGGTAACCCAGGCCCCAAGTACTGAGGACTGTGCATCTTTGTCACCTATGTGTGCCTCCCATCCACCTCAGAGCCACCTGAGGGGCAAGAAGTAGGTAACACTATGATTGCTGAGTCAGTGTAAAATGCGGATGGGGGCACATCTTCATCTAGCTTCTTCTACCCATCCTCCATGTCCAGGAAAGGATCTGACAAACCAGCAAAGTAAATAAATAATTTAGAAATAATAATAAATAGGGCTTCGGCTTCCACAAGTGAACACAAGGCTGGTTTCAGCATAGGCTGGTCCAGCAACTCAACTACAACATGTATCTCCTCAAAATTCATTCCCCAGGATCTAGGGCCATTTCTGGATTCTTCCAGAGGAGTTCTCATTATCTGAGGTTTCTGCTGTCTGTAGAGCTGGGATCCATGAACACCTTGAGACTGTTGGTCAGTGGTTCTGTCATCTTTCCAGGCTCTATGTCTGTCACTCATCGGTTTGGGAGCTGAGCTCTGCAGCCTCCATTTCCTGCTGAGTTGAGGCTCCCGGCTAGTGAGGCCCAGAGGGGCTGTTCCAGGTAGGGCGACACATGGGTCCAGTGTGCAAAGGCTTGGAGATCATCCTCAGCCCAGACAGCCGCAGGCGGTGGCGGAGAGGTGGTCCACGGTCCTCCAGGTGCTGTTCACGTCCATGAAGGAGACGGCCTCATAGCGAGTGGGCCGGCAGCAAGGCTGGCTGATCGGCCGGGACCCGGGAGGCGACCGCAGGGCTCCGGCGCCCAGCAGGCTGGCCAGGCTGAGATCGTGCGGGGAGCGTGCTCGGCGACACGAACCGCTGCAGAAGCGGAAACGTATCAGCTCGTCGGAGCTGTGGCCCAGGCCGAGCGCGCTCACCGGCACCAGCTGCGAGCGCAGGCGGCAGCCGCGCGCATCTGTGGCCCGTGCGCGGCTGCTCCGGGTTCCTGCACGCGCCGCGCGCGCCCCGCGGAGCGCAGCGGGAGGAGACTGGAGCGCGGGACCTGGTGGCGGGGGTGCGGGCTGAGGAGACTGCGGCGGTGGTCGCAGGGCTCTTTCGCTGCACAAATGCGCAGTGTGTCCCCCTGGAATGAGACTCAGTCACTTTCGGAGGTGTGGGTGAGGGGTGTCTAGAGCTAGCCTCGCCCCTGCCCCGCCCTGTCGCGCTCTCACCTACCAGGCAGGTGGTCCGTGGGGGGCGCCAGGACCGGCGACGGACCATCGCGAGCAGCGGGACTGCGGGACATCGAGTCCAGAGAAGCTTCTGTGACGCAGCTCAGCAGGGCTAGAGCAGCTAGAGTTGGCCACAAGGCTGGCTGCACAGAGAAAAGTGGAGACTCAGGGAGGAACAGGGCATTCCTGGGGGGAGGGGGTGTCTTGTCTTGCCTAGATCAGAGACTGATCTAGTCGGGCTCCTAGCTGGGTGGCAGACTGTAAGGAAGGGCTCAGGTTTAATAGGCATTTGCTTCTCCCTGGAGCCCAGGGGAGGGCACTGACCATCCTGAGAAATCCCGTTCCTTTCCTCCCTCTTGGCATTTCCCCTTTTATATCTGACCCCTGCCGGCCCAAGCCATGCCCTACTCTCTTTTTTCTAATTAAAGCCAGCCGAGAAACGCAAGGGAACGACTCACCTGCCATTTAGGCCGGAGGCAGTGGGATAATGCAGTAGGCTCTCCAAGTCCCAGTTCCATCGCTTTCAACTCCAGGAGCTCCCATCAGCCTCCGTGGACCCGTTTCCCCACCCTCTTCCTGAGGCAACTTGCAAATTGAAAGATGATTAGTTATCTTTTGGGGTATTCCTCTTTCCACTTCAGTCTCTCAAAGCTACCCTGGAGTTTGGAGTAGCTAGAGTCAACTCGGAAGCAGTAGCTGCATGGAGAACCTTGCTCTGTGCTAGATGCTCGGCAGGACCTCTTCCGTCACGATTCCACAGGTCAATGGCTCATTTTTTCCAGATTGGCAAACAAGGCTCAGCTGAGCTCAGAGATCCTCTAAGGTCACAGGGGGGAGACTCACACAGCGGTGGTCCTGTCTTCTAAGACCCTTCTGCTCTGTACTTCAGGGCTGAAGGTACCAGCGTGGCTGGACAAAGTAGTAACTTGAGCTCCCTCGGCTCCATACTCAGCCTTCACTCCATACCTCAGGGGAGGAAGCAGAGCCCTGGAGAATTTGAGTGACAGTTGGTCACTGGGTTATCTGATGACCGGGAGCCTAGGGCTCCTGCAATCTTTGTTCTGGACCCAGTGTCACTTGAGTTCTCTCTTATGTCCACAGATGTGTCCCAAGATCTTGCCTATAATCTGGGGAAGTGATGGTCCTTCTGAAAACACAGGGCCTGGACCATGGCTTCCTGTGGCCACCAGGGGGCAGAGCTTGTCAAGCCTGCGGACTTAATGGGAGGGGGCTTTTGCACACGCTCTGCACATTTAGGTCTGAGCCATTCCCAGGAGGACCAGTTAGTCCTCCACACCAACCTGGTCTCAGAGGGCCGAACCACTCTGAGAGCCAGCCCCAGCCTGAGCCATCTGCCTTCTGTGGACCTGACACCCTAGCCTTGCTCCTAGGAGTTTCCTCTGTGAACCATCTTTTCTGACCTCAGCGTGCACCACCAGTTTTTGTGAACCACCGCTCAGGGATCCCTAGAACTTCCAAGAATTCTCATTAGCTAGTCTCTTCTTGGGTCCCAGATGTAACCCTCCATCCTTCTGCTTGCACACAGAATGCACGGGGAAGGGGAGCAACATAGGACGACTCCAGGTTAAGACACACACCTCTCAGGCCTTTATCTAGGAAGTGGTCCTCCAGAGCTAGGTGCGGCTAACTAGGTTCAAATCCCTAGAGACCAGGCTGGTTACTATTCTCCCAGATGGAGGGAAAGTCAGGCAAGGCAACCTTAGGGATATTGCGCTAGGGGGAGCCTAGGAGCAAGTCCCTTGAGGACAGCTCTGACCAGTTTCTCCTTTCTTACCATTTGGATATTTGGTCCTTCAGCCCTCGCCACCCCTATCCACCAACCCTATACTCACCAAAGTAGTCCTCCTCCGTATCCTTCTAGGCACCTTTCCTGGGACCAGTGCTGGGCTTTTCCCCGAAGCTCAAATGGATCATGCACGGAGTTGTGCACCTGGCAGCGCCTCTTTTAGTTAAAAGTGGGGCCTTGGCAGCCAGTCTGTGTCCTGTGGCGGCAGCGGGAGCCTCACGTTACAGTCAGCCAGGAGGGTTAACACAGTCCAAGAGGCTAGCGACAAGAGGAACTGGAGGGGCTGGGAGGGGCAAAGAGCTGCGCTGAGGGCCCAGAAGAGAGAGGCTGAGAGAAAAGGGGGAGGAAGACCTTTCTGCCCTTTCTCCTGCCCTTTGAGCGTCCATCAAGAGGATGGGCAAGAAAGCTGGCTTACCTCGGGTGCAGGGCTCCAAGCCCCAGTCGCAGCGAGAGCTGGGGCCCGAGGGACTTGTTGCTGGCAGAGCCCGCGGGCTGCATCTGGGGGCCGAGCCCAACTCCATCCCTCAGCAGCCTCCTGCCCGCCGCCGTCCGGTGTCAAATTCCAGCCCCAGCGTCACCAGATCCCGGGGTGGGGCCCAGAGCGCCCCCGCCCCGCCCCACCTTTCAGGGCTCACCTGGCCGCACCACCCTCCGGATCCGGTCCTCGCTGGCTAGGCTAGGTCCCCCTAGGTGGGGGGCTAGAGATTTGGAGAAGACCCCAGGAGGCAGAGTAGAGATCGCGGGCTGCAGCGAGGCGAGGCGAGGCGCTGAAACTGGGAATTCAAAGTTGGTAGTCACGCAAAGTAGGGAACTGGGAGGCCTGGCTGAGGGCGGGAAAGAGCGAGGGAGGGCGGCGAAGGAGGGGCAGCCTGGAGGAGAGTTCCTGCTTGGGCTGTGCAGACATGGAGGTTCTGGATAGCTACTCTGCATCCTCAAGTGGTGGCTCTGGGACCCCCAGAAGGCTCAGCTGCCTCATAGCTGCCACAGTCCAAGGATCGTCTGCTTGCTCAGTTTCAGGGCCGGGGCCTCAGAGGGACTCACACACACCCTCCCAGTGAAGGCAATGAGTGATAGTGTGTGGGACCAGGGATGAAGAATCAGAGGAGCTCGGAGTATTGAGCTGGAGTTTAAGGCAATTTGACAGGTGTCTGGAGGTTGGTCGATGGCCACGATCAGAAAAGTTCTGCTAAATGGTCTGGAGCTCATCACGAAGATGCTGAGGAACAACTGACCTAGTCTGAGTGTGGTCAGACACGCATTTTCGTTGAATGACTGCACTAGAGAGAGTATGGTTTTGAGACAAGCAAGACAGAAGAGGGGTGCAAGCTGCTGGGGACAATAGGATAAACCCTGAGCAGGGGTATGGGAAGTTGGGGTTCCGGGACCCAATCCCCAACATTGCCTTTGCCTGACTGGACAAGGTGAGGTGGTAAAATGGACAAAGGTGTGCCTTTAACTTTTAGCCTGGGTGACCACAGAAGGTTGAATTCTAGGAACTGGCTCTCCCTGGGAGAGGTTCAGATGTGGGGGTGGCGGTTTGGGGGGGTGGCATATGAAGCCAGTGTTAGACATGCTGAATTAGTCTGTGGACTCTCCTGATAGAAATGCCACAGAAGGCTGGGCGGTGGTGGCGCAGGCCTTTAATCCCAGCACTTGGGAGGCAGAGGCAGGCGGATTTCTGAGTTTGAGGCCAGCCTGGTCTACCGAGTGAGTTCCAGGACAGCCAGGGCTACACAGAGAAACTCTGTCTCAAAAAACAAAACAAAAAAAAAAAAAAAAGAAAGAAAAGAAAGAAAAAGAAATGCCACAGAAGCAGCTGAATTTATAGCCAGGAGTAAAGTGAAGGCAGTTGGGCCAGTGATGGCAATTTGGTATTTACCAACCAATACACACAAAATCAGATAGGTGCTGGGAGTGAGGAAGGGTGCCCAGGGAATGCGCATGGACTAGATGTACCCTGGCTATGTACCAGTACCTCTATGGACCTTTAAGAACTACCCACATCCCAGGTTTGAATCAGAATCTTGGGGTGGGCAGGTGTAAATTTCCAGGTCTTCACCTGTGATTCTGGCACATAGCCAGAGTTCATAACCACTGATTTTGAGAGAGCAGTTTTGTGCAGTGCTTGAGGCTGAAGTCTGTGAGGGCTATCCTCAGACGCCATAGGACTATATGGGGCACAGGGGACAGCATGGATAGACACATGACACAGGCACTGAACAGCTTGCCCTCTTTTCTCATGTAACTGGTTGTTGAATTGAGGTGGTCTTTTCAGCTAGGGCTCTCACTGTCAGGCATGTAGCTGAAGCTCTGTGTCCCACTTACTGCCATAGTGGCCAGGGCCCGACACAAAGCTACCGCCACCATTACAGGTCAGGGTAGATCTCTGATTCTCAGATTGACCTGGAGTTGCTTTAAGAGGGGTCAGATTCCAGAGTTCTAAAGAGGTGAAAAGGGGCAGGGATGTCTTTTCTAAAGTTACCAGGGGTGTCTAGGGCTGGGTTGGGGGCTGTCCTATTTTCTGTTGAAGTGCAAATGGGAAATGGCCATATTTATTTCTAAGGGGAGCCATGGATGACAGGAATGGAGGTCTGTGGGCTTCTCTGTGTCTGTCTGTCTGTCTGTCTGTCTCTCTTTCTCTGTGTGTGTGTGTGTGTGTGTGTGTGTGTGTGTGTGTACCACAGGAGCCCTAGAGGTCAAAAGGGGACATCAGATCCCCTGGAACTGGAGTTACAGGTGATTATGAGCCTCCAGGTAGGTGCTAGGAATTGAACCAGAGTCCTCTGCAAAAACAGTAAATACTGTTAAACCACTGAGCTGGAGGGCTCAAAGGTCCTGCATTAGACATGAGAAGTGAGAGAGACACAGGTGTCCATGGGCTGCAGAGAAGCCCCTTAAGTTCAGTAGTTTCTGTTTCTTCCAGAGAAGTGAGAGAGAACAACAGGAGGCCAGATTCAGAGGAGAGCTTTATTGCTTCCATGAGGGCTGCCCTGGATGGCTGCCGCAGCCTGGGTACGGTCCTTGAGCCTCATTTCCCCCTGGTCCTGGGTAGGACCCAAGGGGCTGGCAGTCTCATCAAGAAACCCAGACCACCTGACAGTTGGTCAGTCCAGGGAGGAGCACTGCCCCGTGGATTGGGGACAGCTATGGACTGAGCCATTCATTCCCTTCAGGCTGGGCTGAGCCTTGCCTCCTGAGTTCTCTGCTCTTGTCCAAGAGCTGTCCTGTTGGCTTTAAAGGGATGGCTCTGGGGTTCCCCTGTGGGACACTGGTGGCTGGTGAGAGGGAGTACTCCATCTTCTCCCCAAGGAAGGCCAAAGAAATGTCGTGAGCTGGAGATGGCTGACAGGAGATGCTATCCACCTCCCTATCCCTGAAGCATGGTCACCATACTTCCATCCTTCAGGGAGTTCACTGGTACCACTGCTGGATGGGCCCTCTAGTGGGCCTCTTTCTGCACAACAAGTGGACCAAATGTGACATGTAATTTAAAAATAAATTATCCCTCCCCTCCCCATACCCAAATTCACGAAATGATAATACACCAAACACTGATTAGAGAAATGATTCTGGCAGCGCTCTTGCTACCCAATGTCCCACCTCCTGCATGCTGGGCCTGCTGGCCACAGCCAATGGCATCCTGGCCCTCTGGCTTCATGGACCCAGGCTGCAAGGCAGGGTGCTGGTCTCTGAAGCTGGCCTGGAGTGGGCACAGCTCTGGTTGCCTTGCCAAGGCCTCACTGGCCCTTGGGCCCCTTGGCACTGTCCTTCTCTGGGTTGGAAGTCTCCTGTGCAGGTGGCAGCTGCTTGGTCCTGGCGTGAGCCTCTCTGGCCCAGTGTCCGGCCCACTCAGATACCGCTGCTTAAGTCAGTGATGACGCGTGCTTTCACTAGCTTCCGCAGAAACTCTTTCTCTCGCTGGATGTTGTGCGTCCAAGACTAGAAAGGGAGAGATGGAGAGGTCATGAGGTGGGCAATCCAGAGGGTTGCTGGGACACAGCCTTGCTGAATCCTGCACTGGTGCTCGCTTCCGGTCAGCACCCACCGAAGCCCTGTGACTGGGAATATGCAGGCGCACATTTGTCCTATGTCTCCTTACAAGATCACAATTACAGACTGCTCCAACTGACAATGCTTCCCTCAACAAACAAGCCTGGCACCCCTTGTCACCCCAGAGGAACTCTGCCCTGGGTTCCTTCTAAGTCTTGAGCAGTCTCGGCTTTCCAGTCCCCTCGGTGCTCAGCTTCTTGTTCCCCCAGACAGCAGGCACAGCTCCTTGGCAGCACTGGGGTTCTAGACACCCCAAGGGCACGGAGGTGAGTCACTGGACCGCACACAAGGGCATGGGCTGCCTCTCTGGCCTGATGCAATCGGTTCTCCAGGCCTGAGGCAGCTGATGAAAGCCTTCCTCCCGTGCAGTGCACTGGAGCCAGGGAGTCTGAGAAGCACACCTCATCTTTCTGTTTGAAAATATTCTCTTTTTTGAAGCTAAACATTAAAAGTTTATTTATGTTTGTTTGTTTTCAATGTATTATTAACGTTCTCTGTGTGTATATGGTATGCGGGTCTTTGAGTATGGGCCTGAGTGGAGGCCGAAGAGTGACCTTTGGCAATGGCTTTCCTCCTACTGTGGGTTCCAGGGATTGAACTCAGACCACCAGGCTTGCATGGCTAGTGCTTTTCTCACTGATGTATCTCACCTGCCCTGGGTTTTTGAGACAGAGTCTAACTTAGTAGCTTGGGCTGGTTTCAAACTCACTATGTCATCTAGGCTGGTCTCAAACTCATGGTCTTTGTACTCCAGCTTTCTGAATGCTGGAATAAAGATGTGAGCTGATATATCCATTTGCTTTACTGTTCTAAAGCAGTTCTCACTAACTCAGGCTGGCCTCGAACCCCTTTTATGTTTTTGCCTCTACCTCCTAGGACCATTCCACCAGGCTGGCTTCCAAAGGCTAAAAGTACTTCCTATACCACTATCCTTAAACAAAACAAAACAAAAATGACATATTCTTAAAAAGTGCATCCTACTAAGTTAAAGAAGATGCCACCTTCCAGGGCTTAATGGGATTGGATTCCTTCTGATTCCCAGAAATCTCCCCAGGAAGCTCCGATGACTAAGCCTCTCAAAGAAGGAAGGGCTTGACTGAAGGAATGAAGGGTGAGTGCCATTAGCCTTATGGCTTAGACCCAGCTGGCCTCTGCGTGTGTGTCAGCACTTGGGCTACTCCATGCCTGTATCCACAGCCACTATTTACTGGTACTAAAAACTAGGGGCTGTCCGGCTCTTACTTTGATTCCAACAACACTCTTTGACCTTCCAAATCTCTGTGATCTAAAACTCAGGCAGTCACCAACCAGAGTCCCTATAGTCTGCTGTGAGCATCCTTGAGGCCTCTTGAGTGAATCACAGACTTGGCTGCCCTGAAACCTCCACATTACCCAAAATGGTAATGGTTTCCTTCCTCACAATCTACAGTGCAGTGCACTGAGGTGGTCTAGTTTCCCTCAGCATCCCTCCTGTTCTCGCCATCTGTCCCTCAAATCTCTAGAAAAACCTAGACCAGGCTTTGTCATTCCACCTTGCTGCTGCCTCTGGAGTTGCCCTCCTTGTCTCAGACCCCTGAGTGACTCACATCCATTTTGTTTTGTTTTGTTTGTTTTTTGTTTTTTTGTTTTTGTTTTTTTTTTTCGAGACAGGGTTTCTCTGTATAGCCCTGGCTGTCCTGGAACTCACTCTGTAGACCAGGCTGGCCTCGAACTCAGAAATCCATCTGTCTCTGCCTCCCAAGTGCTGGGATTAA